ATTTTTTTAATAAATAAATAAATTTAAATTAAAATAATTTTAAATTAAATATTAATAAATTATTAAGTTATAAATTTAATATTATGAATAATGAAAATGTCTAAAAACATTCAGAAAAATGGAATACATTTGGAAAAATATAATTATGTCTGAAAAATGTCTGAAAAATAGGATTATATTTAGAAATTATCTGAAAAATATTCAGAAAATATCCAATTTTGTATTCTAAAGAAATTAAACATTGAAATTTCAGACAATAACATTTTTGGACAAAATAAATGTCTGGAAACCACCAAGATTAGAACATATTTCAGACAATATAAATGTTCAGAATTTGTATATTATTATTTCAATACACTTACCTGTTAAATTCTAGACATTCTTTTTTTATAGAGATGATATTAGTATTTAATAATCAGAAATAAATAATTTTTAGCTTATTAAATTTATTATTTTTTTTATGAATCAATTTTAATTAAGATAATTTGTTTCAAAAATTTATAAATTTTTATTTATTTATATGATTATCTTCTCTTAGACTATAAAGATTGCAGATAAATTTGCCTATCTATTTACTTTAAATTCTCTTCTAATTTACTTTTATGAAAAATTAAAATTTTTAAATTAATTTTATAAATATATATAATATCATAGTAAATTTTATTTTTTAATTATATAATAAGTAATTTAAGATTACTTATAAGCTAAAAATTTGTAATTTTTAAAAAATTTATAAATTAAAAAATTTATCATTGACTTTTGACTATTTTATTAACATTTACTTTTAGCAATATTAATAATAATAAAATATTATAAAATTTATCATGAAGAATAACTTTAATTATTACAATTTTTATAATTTACTAAGAAATTTTATGACTTTTATTAATACTAAAGTGATTTAATTAGTTTACAAACATATGAATTTTAAAAAAATTTTTAAAAAATAATTATAATAAATTTTTAAACTTAATTTTTAAAATTGAATTATTTAAAAGTTTCATAATAAACTTAAAATTTCTTCTAATTAAATTGATAAAATATATATTAAATTATATTTTTTATATAATTTTATTTTTTTATTAAAAAATTAATACTTTTTTTTATGTTTGCAGGCAAATTGCCTGCTCTACAATTTAAGAAATAATAATAAATAAAAGATATAATAAAATAAAACATTAAAATTTATGTCATTTTTAAACTTTTTTTTCAAATGCTACCTTAATCTCTTCCTCTAATTCTGATAATTTTAATATATATTTTACATGAAGTTTTCTATTTTAATTTAATTTTCGTTCTTCATAATATTTAGTATAATCATCTATTCCTTCTTCAAATATTTTAATTTTATTTATATATTCTTTTTTTAATCTTAAAAGAAGTTATAACTTTGTTGGTTTAACATAATATGGATTATCAGAGTTATTAGTTATGAGGATGATAATTCAGATTTCCATAAAATAATATCATAAAATTTCATATATTTATAATCATGTAATGGTACATGATGAATTTTTTTATATTCTTCAAGAGAAATCATAATTTTGTTAAAGGTTTAAGAAATTCTTTTTGACTTGAAATGTTTTATAAAAAAAGTTTTTTTTTGAGAATTTTTTATAAAAAAATAATTATTTCTTTCGAGAATTTTTATGAAAAAAAAAAAAATATATATATATATTTTTTTGAAGGGATTTTATTTTAATTTTGTCGCATATTATTATTTTTTTTTTTTTATAAAAAAAAATAAAATGTCAAGTTCAACAGGTGAGCAAGTTGTTTTAAATATTTTCGACTTTCGATCACCCCATTACAAATTGTACAACCACGTGATCGCGAAGGTTTCAACGACAAATTTAATTTCTGTTTATATCTTCATTTAAAACGCCGATTCATGTATTCACCCCAAAAAATTTTTTGAATTACAATATATCATATAATTCGTAATTGGTTTGATTTTACTGGCAACGATCCAATATAAAAAAAGACAGAAATTTTATTAAATATGTTTCTTAATTATGAAAATTGAATAGATACATTTGATTAAAATATATAAGTTCTATTTGTTATTTGTAATATTAAGAAATAAAAATTTGATAAACTAAGTTGACAAAAATAATTTACTCGTTACAATATTCCTTATTTATTTATGCTACTAAAAAATCTAATTAATGGTAACAAGTTTGATAAACCATAGTTTGCTAACGTAAATTAAATTGTCTCACAGAGCACCTTTTCGATGGGCTCGTTGTTCCAGGATAAATTTGCTAAAAAGAGAAATGATCTCGTCGGAATAGAATAAATGGATTTTCCAATGATAAATTGGTGGAGAAATTCCATCCCTTGTTGACGCATTTTAATTATTTGTTAATTGATAATTTTTTTTATGATTTTATGATCAAATTTAATAAGTTTATGATTGTTTGTTTTTGGAACATTAAGATAATTGAGATATTATGAAGAAGAGATAAAACCTTTCATCGAATGTCCAATTTATACTTTGAATTAGTGGAATTTTTAGCACTAAAAAAGGAGTTCATTTAAATCTATTAGGGCGTAAAATGTGGATATTATGCAACAAGTTCATTGTGTCGCGCGTATCGTATTTATCGGATCTTAGACTTTAATTATTCAATTTGGGCGTAAGATATTTGAATCCATTTTGGGTTTGGTTTAAACAGTTTATCAAGTCCGGGGCATTATGAGAAAAAAAGCTTATTGAGTTCTAAAATGAGACAATGTCTAGACCTACATATATTGTTCTACTTTGGGTATTGCAACAAACAATACGTTTTCCACTTTTTTTTCCATTGTTGTCGATCGTCGATCGTTTTAAAATTTTACGTAATTAACTGCGCAACTATTGACGACGATCAATTTCGGGAACAGAGATCAAAGTTTCATAAAAATTTTTACTTTATTTGTTATTTGGCCTTCATAATTTTATATATTGCGGGCGGTGAAAGTAGTTTTATAGTACAGAGCCTTATTATAACTTAATAGACCAAATATTTGTTAATTTTAGTTTCGCATTTGCAAAGTTTCTTATTTATCGCATCATCATCGAGATTTTGTACCAATTATTGGAATTTTTTTAGTCGACTATTAAGTTTTTTGGCAATAATGGGTCATCCGTCTTAAGAACTCGAGAAATGGTCTATTGTTGGTTGTATACAAAGATCGGAAATACCCAATCGTTTTCAGAATTACATATATTTTTGATATGATTTTAATAAAAGGTTAATTAATAATTATCAGCTTGCTTTGAAGTTTATAGTATTACGTAGTAATGATCTGTTAAAATCCAAGAATTTCTAGCAATGTAACAAATTAGCACCTGTGATCTTACATAATTTACTTTTGGACAATAATAGTTTTAATAAAGTTCCGTCAATCATGGGTCGAATATTTAGCAGTTTATAATCTTTGTCTTCATTTTATTGATTGACAGTATTTTTCGAAGAAAATTTGTAAATATTATTGGTCCACTCAAAGTATAACCAATCTTCGTTAACATTATCAACTCATGATTAGAAGTATTGCTCGGTATTTCAAGCTTAATAAATAGGAGCCCTTTAATCACTCACATAAAGAATTGATTCTATTTCTAATGGATTGCATTTGATAGAATCGTTTTCAAACTGATCGATTGGTTCTGCTAAAGTAGGTATCAAAATAATTAAAAAATTAATGCGATGAATTTTACGATCGATTTCAAAAATTATCTTCGTGAATGTTGATCTATTTCACTTCAAAATGACGCAATATAGAAACATACATAGGGTTGAGAAAAGTTAGTCTTGGTCTAATCCTGTACTTAGTACCTATCAAATGGAATTATAGACTAAATCCGTATATAATAAGTCCAAGCACTTAGGAGATCCAGTGTCTAAGAACTTGAACTTTATTCGTAATACAGTAAAAAGTTAAATTTACTTAAAAAATCTGATTTAGGATTTATTCTGAACTGGATTCTCATTAAGTCTAAAAGAATTATACTAGTCACATAATTAAGAAGAGATACAATAATCAATATTATGTTGTAAGCGCACAACATAGGGATTGGATGATTGAAATATTATCAGTTGATATATCAGTATGGAATTGTTGTAGCTTAAATGCTCATTTCAGACTCCTAAATGCTCATTTTGAATCACTAATGAACATTTCAGACAATGTCCCAAATGCTTAACTTAGATAACTGTTCTAAATTACCAATTCGGATTTTTATCAACAATTTTATTTAAATTACATGAATTTTGTGTATGTTTTCATTTCATTAAAAATTTATTAAAGATAAAGTTGTTTCCACAACAATTTCATCTTTCACTCATCTTTAAAATAAAAAAAAATTATAAAAGATATTATAATAAGTTTATGATATAAAAGGTATTTTCTTCCGAAGGGACATAATTCGAAGAAGGTAGAAATGTGAATCACATGAATACTACATTATGACCTCATTTCAGCATCTTTCATTTAAAGCTGTTGTTGTATTACTGTTGTTGTCGAAGTTACTGTTAGCGCTGTTGCAACAAAACAAGCTATTGTATTTGTTACTACCATATTTGACATCAATGTGATTGTTAACGTTTATAAAATTTTAAACAATTCGATTATAGGCAATCTTTCATGTGATTTTTATAAAGAAATGTTTTCATGAAAATTTTGATGTTTTTAGTTATACTCTTGTTGAACAATCCTATTTATAAAAACTAAAAAAATCGATTTTTGTTCTCAGATCGATCGTCTCGTTTCAAATTTGAATAATCTTAAAACGCCTCGTTTCAAAAAAAATAATAGAAATCTATAAAAAGAAAATATTACATGAAAATTCTTTGTTATCCTGATATGGGATCGTGTCACCTTTGAAAAATTTACGACCCTTTTTCGTGTCGTAAATTAAATTCCATTTATATGAAGACAAATTTTAAAATTTCAGAACTACGAGAAAAGTTTTTTTGAGAATATATTTTCTACTTCATTTCACCTAAAGTATGGTCGATATTTTTGTTCTTTAACAAAATGTCTGATAGTGACAGTGAAAGTGTACTGATGATTTAATCGTTCGTTATATAAGAAAACTCTTTATCTTCTAATTGTGTTTGCCGAATAATCAAAAAAAATGAAAGTTGCTACGAAATTTGGAATCCTTAGAACCTTTATTTCTTTTCCATCCTGTGTGCGTGGTTTTTTTTTGAGTGTTAACCTCGCAACTTTGGAAGGCTTTGGTTGGATTATAAAATTGATAAAAAAAAAATATTTATATAATATTCTTTGCGTTTTAACTTAGTTTTTTTGCTCTATGGAAGAACGTAGTTTAGACACGTGCTGAAATGGTACAAAGAGTAAAATTCGAAAAACTAGAAAACAATGCCGGCTTTGGTTTTCTAATTCCTATTCTTACAAACGAAAAAGAATATTTTTTTTTCCTTATACGTCCAAGTATGACGAACACACTTATTTCTCCAATAAATGCAAAGTAGAAAAATATAATGCGATCATATTGGCCTTAATTAATTCAAAAATTTTAAACCGAATTTATCTATTACAATTATTATAATCAAACTAAAAGCTAATACAAAGCATTATTATGATTTTATGATAGACCGAATTTAAAGTAACTAAATCTATAATGACATTAAAATAAAAATATAAAATATTTTTCTCCAATTCGAGAGTTAGAGAAAAAAGTTACATTATATATTATATTATTATGTGTGACAAATGGTTTCGTTCAGAAACAGAAATCCCGACAAAATACAAAATTTGAATACCGAAATCTTGAATAAACCAACTTCCGATAAGTTCGAAATCACGAATATGATATCTCGATCCTGCTACCTAAGTAATAAAGCAATTCCGTGAAAACTTTCAACCATTATAGTCAGTAGAAAAGGGTGAAATCCAAAATTTTTTGCTAATTTTGTTAATTTTGTGCACACATGACAACCAAAATTTCATATCCGCTCATCCTTGGAAACACACTGGTATATTTTTTGTTTTTTCACGTTTTTACGATACAACGATTTTATATTTATAATAATAAAGAATTTGCTGTTAACATAATTTTTTTTACATAGCATATAGAATCTACATTCTCTAAAAACCATGGTATTACCATTAAAAAAAAAAACTTCAAAATTATCTGATAATTCTATATTTAAAGCTAATATTTCAAAAATATTTTAACTTATATTTAGTAATACTTATTTGTGTTATTCTTAGTTTATTAGATGATGGAACTTTTATTAGCTTAACTAGCAAGTTAATAGATATTCAAATATATTTTTAGAACGAACTTTAAAGTTCAATCAAGCGAAGGATAGCATAATGGAGCAAATATCGAAATGGTTTCACGTAGTGTCGTGCGGAATTTGTTCTAACTTTGAGAAAATTTTATAAAATGAAAATTGAATACTAAATAAATCCAGTACATATAAAACATGAAAAAAAAGATAGAAATTATCATACTTGAATTAAAGTCTTCCTTGCTTATTAAGAATTATCCAGATGTTTTACCTTCTTTAACTAGTCTTTTAATTTCTCACCAACATTGAACAGCGTTAAATTTTCTTCTGTGGTCCTTCTTCTAAAACTTAGTTATCATTTTTACCAACTACTTAATTCACTTTGAATGACACGATTTTAATATAAAGGGGGAGTCTCTACCGAGATATTCTCATAAAGTTTATATTATCATTAATTTTCGCAAAAAAAAAAAAAAAAATAAAAAACAAAAAACAAGAATTTGTATTAATTGTCTTTCTTTCATATATACATACTAATTCAAGATTTAACTTAAATAATATTTATTTGATCTTATATTAAGAAATTTTCAGAATATTTAGTGAAAGGTTCATTAAATCTTTCTAGGTTTATGTGCGACAGCGATTTTGTCAGCCGCTACTTTGTGAAAACCATCAAATACGCGGCGTGGTTATATTGTTATTTACATATCGAATTTATAAATTACATGTCATTAATGTTTACAATAAATTCATAATTATCTAATAACAACGCTAAAGAGTGTTTGTTCAAAACCGAATCTTTTTTAGTAGCTTTAAAATGATCGAAAACTTGGTTTATGATCGATCAATCAATCTATAATGGGAGGTATAGAAACCTTATTTACGAATCGTATTCTGGTTAATTATTTTACAAACATATTAATTCTTTTTTTTTTGAGATTTTCGATTAAATTAATTTATCGTTTTTTGTGTTATATTTATAAATGAGATACATTTATTTTTTATTTTTAGGTTCTAAATTTAAAGATCAGTTAAAGGCCGTGATATCACTTTGATTATATTTTATTTATATAATAAATTTATTGTTGTGAATTGTAATAGCAACATTTCAATTCGAAGGCTGCAAGTTATCTTTATTTACTATTAATATATTTTTTTCAAAATAAAATAATTAAATGTATTTATTTATGTAGTGAATAACAATTATTTTTTTTTTTTTAGGTACTAAATTTAAAAATCGGTTCAGAAGGCCGCAGTATGATTCAAAATATTCTTTTTGTTTAAAAAAATTTCATATAAATTTGTTTTATATTTAGAAATCTAAAATTTAATATTTAATTATTTTTTTTTGTTAAAAAAATAGAAAAAAAAGAATCGGTTTAGTTAAATAATATTCAAATTGTCTATGTATTGCAAAATTTAATAATGGTCATCGATATCATATTCCGATTTAATAAACAAAGTTTTATTTGAAAGCTTAGAATATATTTCACCTCAAAAGAAACTTGAACATTAAGAAAGGTTATATCAAAGGTTAAATTTGGCAGGATAATTATTGAGTTGAGATTTTAAAAATGTAGGTTTGATCCATGTTAGGGAATAGGGTAAATTTGGTAAGCAAGTAATTAGAGTATTATCACAGTTAAGTTCCGTTAAGGTGTTTGGTAATATTGGTAGGATAGTTATTGGAGTATCAGAGCAATCAAGTTTCGTTAAGGAATTGGGTAAGGTTGGTAGAATAGTTATTGGAGTATAAGAACAATCAAGTCTTGTTAAGAAGTTGGGTAATGTTGGTAGGATAGTTATTGGAGTATTAACGCAGTCAAGTACCGTTAAGGAGTTGGGTAATGTTGGTAAGCTATTTATTTTAGTGTTATGACAAAAGAGTACCGTTATGGAGTCGGGTAAAGTTGGAAAGCAATTTATTTTAGTGCTATGACAAAAGAGTTCTGTTAAGGAGTTAAGTAAAGTCGGTAGGGTAGTTATTGGAGTATTAGAACAATTAAGTTTCGTTAAGGAGTTGGGTAATGTTGATAAGTTATTTATTTTAGTGCTATAACATTTGAGTATCGTTAAGAAGTTGGGTAAAGTTGGTAGAGTAGTTAATGGAGTAAAAGAGCAATCAAGATAAGTTAAAGAGTTGGGTAAATTTGGTAAGCTTGTTATTTGATATCTTTGTAATCCTCCTGAGGCGTTTAGTATGTTGTTCTTATTATGTTCCGTAATCGTTAAACTAACAATGGTATCATCGAATTCTTCTATTTTCATCTGATCAAGTGAACTATTAATACCGGAAAATGTATTATCATTTCTCGAATAAAGGTATTGTGATAATTGAAGGCTTCCCTCATCATCAATATTCATTTGTTTATTTTCTTTCACGTTAGATTTTGTAATAATTGTGTTTAATTGATCAACTACCTGTCTCATGTCCGGACGATTGACTGGTTCAATATCCCAGCATTCTAAAATCATATAAAAAATTTATTGAATGTAAACATAAATTCATATATTCCTTAAATAAAATATATTTACCAGTATAAATTTTTACGTAAACTTCAGATGTACCAGGAACGATACTTTCTCTAAGTCCTTGTGAAATTTCTATAGCCAAACCAATGTCATACATTTCATTTTTAACATGAAAAGGAGGACAACCGCTTGATAGTTCCCACAAAAGCACACCAACACTGTAAACGTCACTCTTTTCGTTTAGTATACATTGTTGCGATGTATTGTCATCCTTTCTTTGTTTAATAAAATTTTTAGGATCCATATAAGGAATTACACCAAATAATTTTGACTGATTAGTTATCGCTTCAATTCTTTTTGATAAACCAAAGTCTGCTAGTTTAATAACGCCTTGATGGATTAATATGTTGCCTGAATGCTATTCATATAGAAAAAAATATATATATAATTAATTATTTAAAAGGAGTGT